CTGTAGTATTAATCATTATAATAATTAAATTAATTTTGTAATATAAATTTAAAATATATTAGATAAAAATACAACGATCTATATATTTAAGATAAATACTAAATTTTGTAATAATAATTTAAAATATATTCAATATGAATACATCTATCTAAATTAAAAAATATTTAACAATAAAATAAATTTTGAAAGTCTTTAAAATAAATACAATTAAGGAAAATAACAAATTATGTAATATAAAATTACAATATATTAAATAAAAATTACATCTATCTATTGTTTTAAGAATATATTTAAGGAAAATATCAAATAATAAAATCATGCAATAGAAATTTAAATATATTGTATAAAAATAAATCTATCAATTACTTAAGGAATATATTTAAGGAAACTATCAATTTATGTAAAATAAATTCAATTATATTTGATATAAAAATTATTTGAAATAGTCTTTAATAAATAAAATTAAGGAAAACAACTAATTATGTAAGATAAAATTAAAATATATTAAATATAAATATATCTATCTAACCTTTAAGGAAAATAAATAATTATGTAATTTAAATTTAAAATATATTTGACAATAAAATAAATTTTTATAGTCTTAAATAAATACAATTAAGTAAAACAACTAACTATGTAAGATAAAATTAAAATATATTCAATAAAATATATATATCTATTCTTTAAGGAATACAATTAAGGAAACCACTAACTATGTAAGATAAAATTAAAATATATTAGATAAAAATACATCTATCTATTTTTTAAGGAATATATTTAAGGAAAATATCAATTTATGTAATATAAATTTAATATTGTTCAATATAAAAATTAATTGAAATAGTCTTTAATAAATACAATTAGGGAAAATAACTAATTATGTCAGATAAATTGAAAATATTTTATATAAAAATACATCTATCTATTCTTTTAAGAATATATTTAAGGAAACTATCAATTTAAGTAAAATAAATTTAATTATATTTGATATAAAAATTTATTAGAAATAGTCTTAAATAAATACAATTAATGAAATTAACTAATTATGTAAGATATATAAAATATATATATCTATAATTAAATTTATAATTATTTAAATTACTTGGTATCATATCTGCATAATTGATGCAATTATCCAGAATTCACTACAAAACTACTGACACAACTATTTGAAAATAAAAAATAATTAATATCACATTGTTGACATGTTGAAAAATCAGTACAAATTGCAGAATTTCCTTACCAATTACCTCTNGAATACAATTAAGGAAACCACTAACTATGTAAGATAAAATTAAAATATATTAGATAAAAATACATCTATCTATTTTTTAAGGAATATATTTAAGGAAAATATCAATTTATGTAATATAAATTTAATATTGTTCAATATAAAAATTAATTGAAATAGTCTTTAATAAATACAATTAGGGAAAATAACTAATTATGTCAGATAAATTGAAAATATTTTATATAAAAATACATCTATCTATTCTTTTAAGAATATATTTAAGGAAACTATCAATTTAAGTAAAATAAATTTAATTATATTTGATATAAAAATTTATTAGAAATAGTCTTAAATAAATACAATTAATGAAATTAACTAATTATGTAAGATATATAAAATATATATATCTATAATTAAATTTATATTATTTAAATTACTTGGTATCATATCTGCATAATTGATGCAATTATCCAGAATTCACTACAAAACTACTGACACAACTATTTGAAAATAAAAAATAATTAATATCACATTGTTGACATGTTGAAAAATCAGTACAAATTGCAGAATTTCCTTACCAATTACCTCTATCAATTGTTATATTTCTGAATCCCATGTCGAAATTGCTTATGTTAACTATACTCCTTTTAAAATGAGTTTAGGAGTAACATAGTAAGTTCGAAGAATTGCTTCTATTCTAATTAGATCATAAGTATTAGTGCAAGTAATACTTGTACTTTAAATTTTTTTAACATTATTAAAATTATAATTAGATGAGGTCTTGATAATTTCCCCTTATAATTAATCATCAAATTTATTTATATTCTATTATCAATTAAAAAGCCCTTTATATAAAATATAATCCTTAATCTAATAAATTTTAATGATTGTGAATTTTCAAATTATAAACTCATTACCTCATTAAAAATTAAACTTCCTAAATAGAAAATATAGGAATTACTTTTTTAATAATAGCTTCATTTTTGATAATAGGTTTCGTAAAAAAAAAGAGGTTTCTTTGAAAAGTACAAATCATTCAATAATTAATAGTGGGTGCAATTATAATTTTTGGTATATCCATACCTTTCACATTATTTTTGATATTCTTAACTTTTAATTATATATGGGAGAAATGTGTATATGGATTAATCATAATCATATATGGATGCTATTTGATGTTAGAAACAAGATTAATTATGAGCAAAGGAGTAAGAATTTATTAATATATTAAAGAGATTAAATTTATAATCTAATGATCATTTAATGGATCTTTATTGCTATATGGTCTTATGTTATAACCTTTAGTAAGAATATTTGATATTTTATTAAAAATTTTTGGAAGGAGCGCATTTAATGAAGAATATCATCAATAAAATTATATCATGATAAGAAAATCATATTATACTATAATTATTAGAAATTAAGATCTAAGTTGAGTAAATTTGTTTACTTATATATATATATTTAGTATCTCAAAATTTAGTACTTCATGGATTAAAATAGTAATTAAGATTATTACAATTTTTTAGGAAAAAGAGAAATTTTTAATTATTTAATTACAAATTAAAATAATTCTCAAAATAAAAAAAATGAGTTTCTTTTTTATTTATTTACTAATTTTCAAAATGGATAATGAAATTCATTTCTATTTACATTTTATTCTCATCCATAACTACCTATTAATTCATCAAGAATTTAACGAATGTCTACTGATTTTTTTAGATTTTCCAATCCTAAAATCACATTATTTTAGGTAGTGACTAAGTTATTACTAATTTGAAGCTACTTTATTAATTATAAAGCAATAGAAATATATTAATATTTATTTAGATGAATTCAGACTGATAAAATACTCAAGTTGGCCTTATTCCACATAAACGCCATAAGAAGACTGAGATTAACTAAAATACTAATTTTTGAAAACTAATATTGAAGTCACATTTAATTAAGATGATAATAGCAAATACTCATCATAAGAACACTTTTTAAAGAAAGTAAATAATTTTTTATATTATTTTATTCAAAGGAAAATCCTTATAGATATTTCTATGGATCATTAGGATTTGAAAAATATACAGAATAAATCTAAATTCTTACTGGTATGGAGAATGTGAAATAATTTGAGAAAAATTGGTAAGTGATTAACCAGTGGGTATGGATACATTCTTTGAGAAGTTGGTGGATATAATAAAATAATAGGAAAGATATTTTAATACTATGATAATGGATTAAAGGAAGGTATATGGAAAGAGACAATTTACAATTAAAGAAGGTAATATACAAAAAAAAGAATTTTCGATAGTCATGTATAATTATATGAGAATGGATCATATGAAAGAGGAGGAAATGGGACTAAAACTGTTAGAAGGATCGAAATGAGCGAGGAGTCTAAATAAAATTCCTAAATAATGTATTATGAGGATTATTAAATGATTTTAAAGTTGATGAATGGATAAAATGAATGTTTTAGATTGAAAAATAATTTGGATGAATTATTATATTTGTAATTATTTTAATTTAATATTACTAAAATATATTTTAGTGTTTTATTATATTTAATTTATATATTGGATATCTGTTAATTAATCTTATGTACATTAGTTATTATCCAATAAGATTTAATTTACTTACATATAAATAAAATAAAACAATTAGCTAGATTGTACTTTTGATAAATTTTTATTTAACTATATTTAAAGGAAGATTTCTTTTTTAATTTGATTAAATTTTATGAGAGAAAAAATTGATTAAGAAAGTAGTTATAAATATATTATTAAATTTCGAGAATTTATTAGGCAAAAGAAAAACAAATTTAATAAATACAATTATGAAAATTTGATAACGAATGAACATAAGTAACTGATTATGGCAATAAATTCATTCTTTTTAAGATTCCCAATGAAATCTGTTTAATATCATTTATATTCCTTAAAATATGATTTCATGTTTATCAAATATTATTTTGATTCCTAAATAATATAGATATTAGGTTTTTTATTAAGGATAACAATTAACTTTTAGAAAAAAGTCCCTATATCTTTATTTAAAAAAAAAATTTTTATATTCTTTCATCTTTAAATTATCTATTAAATCATAATTTGAATAAATCATTTAATTGGAAATTGACATCATATTTAAAAAAAAAATATTATTAATTCAACAAAATTTTTGTTTGGTCATTTTTTTTTTTTTATCTCTAAAACGATATTTTCTAAGATTTAAAATGGCTAACGATTTTAAGGAATAATTATTATTATAGTATTTTTTATATTAAATTAATTAATACTTTTTGAATCAGGCCAAAATAATAATTGTAATTTGAATTTTTTGATAATTTATTTTATTCACCTTGCAATCAAAGTGTGTTCTAGTTGTGATCCTCTGAGATACTAGTTTCATCTACCCCAGTTACCAGGAAATCCTTTCAATAATTCTATGATGTAATTAATGTCCATGTTACGCTTATGATCTCTGCATCTCATCTGTCCAAATTCCCATAGGTTGAGAATAGATAGTTTTTCTTTAAATATTAGACTCTTTTTCCTAGTTTGTTTGCTACTTCTATTTAGGTTTTTTTGCTCGATTAACTCCAGACCATCCTCTTTTATTCCCAAATATTCTTAATTTTAATGAAGAAAATCCTTTAGGAATTATTCACGTTTTTCATTGGCTATTTGAAAATTCTTACATATTCTGTTATATTCACTCTAATTTTAATTGCGCCTCCAAAATATTTAAAGTTATCTAAATTCTTTATTCCCATCTCCTCAAGTAATTCTTTTCTCCTATTAGCTATATAATTGGTTTTCTTAAATTTAACAATAAGATCTGGTATCTCTTTTTCGTTACACTTGTTTCATAACTTTAAATTACTCTTTTTAGGTTTTCATCAAATATATATAAGAAAAATCTAAAAATAGGATAACAGAAAGGGACTTAAGAGCTATACTTAAGCCAGACCATTCTTAAATATAGACTCTTCCTTTTTATAGGGTCATAAGATATATATGGATTTATCATCTTATACATATCCAGTCTATCTACAGGTGTTGTAAGTGTAAGAAAGATCAATGATTATCACATTTTTCTTATTAAATTTTACTTCATCTCCAAAACTAATCTAGATAATTGAACTTGAGTTCCTAGATGTTGAACAAATTCCACAATAGTTATTCTAGATTATTTCCATTAATATCTCCTTGAATTTTACTAGATAGCCCATTCTATAAATTAGGCTATAGCATGTGCAAGTTTTTTAATGAAACCAACCTCTTACCTGAAGATATTTTATTTTTTGAATACAATTTCTTAATGTTGAATAAGTCCACATCTATATATCCATTTCTCTATTTTCTCTTGATAATTAATCTTATTCTTTTAATAAGTGAATTCATATGAGATAGCTTTGTTGTACTTAGAGATTTTAGTAATCTCTTGTTAAAATTTAGTCAAATCCAGCATCTAGCATATTCACATCTTCTTCTTCAAATCTTAACTTATCCCAATTTAAGGTATAACAATTTTCAAAATACTTCCTAGTCCTTCTTCAGTCAGTACTCTTAATATATCCTTCAGTTTATCAATCTTAATTTAATAATTTCCTTGTTGTTATTATTCTTGTCCTCTTAGAAGGATGTTGGTTACACCTCCAACTTGAATCTAATAGGTATCTCCTCCTATAATTAGGGGGTTACTTTTAACAGATCAAGAATTGAAATATTATTAATTCTTTCTCAACTCAAATTTCTTCTCCTTCTTAATTATTTTTATAATAATCCCTTTTTAGACTGGATATTACATTGAATCTCAAAGTGAACTTTTTTGTAAAGGTTTATGATCAGATTTTTTCTGATGAAATCTGATTTCCTTAGATCCATTTATAATTGGTCTATTCCAACATTTTTCTAGAAGAATTCTATCTCCTGAATTAAATTCAGTTTAATGAAGGTTTTCATGGTGTATTTCTATTACTAACAAACTCTAATTCATATTCAAATAAAATTGCTCATTCTCTCTTGAAATTCTAGTCTCAAGTAGGTCTGGGAAAGTTGTCTTCCTTTGAGCTACGATTTTTTTCATAGAAATTATTCTTAAACCTCAAAATTATCAATAAAATAATTTTTTGTAAATGAGTAAGATGTTTTTTTGGTTTAACTTAATATTTGTAGATTAACTTGCTAAAAATGCAACATGAAAATTGAATTAGAAGTGTATTGAGATCCTTTATTAAGGCTACTTCTATTAAAAAATGATCTAACATTTAGCTGAGAAATTAACTAGTTAGATAATTATAAACAACTTTATGGAACTTTTTGGAGACCAAATTTTTCAATGAGATAGAAATTATAGAATATCAACTAAATCTATAAAAAAGTTTGAAATAATAATGCATAATAAAAAAGGAAGATTTGATAATAAAGTTATTACAGATAATCATAATTATTTAAACTAATTAATGAAAACGAAATTCATTTGAATTTCTAAATTTTATACTACCTTAAAGATATTAAGGATCCATCAACTGAAATTGCATTGAAAAATAAAAAATATAGATGATCATAGTAAATATTAAGAGAAAAATAGTATTTTACTATATAGAAACTTATTATTATTAGATAAAACTATCAATTTTTATTATTTTTAAATAATAAGGGAATTAGAAATTTTTAAACTCAGAATACTTTTTAATGCAAAAGGCCTTACAATTAGAAATTCTATTTTAAATAAATATTCTTAAAATTATATCTTCAAAGATTCAACTTTAATATAACATTTGAAGTAGGTTTTATGAATTGCTACAATTATTGAACTAAAATATTCTATTAAAAGAATATACCATAAGATGATATTAAAACAAGAGTAAAAATTATATATTTATATTATAATTACCTATATTTCTTTAGTTTAAAACGTTCTTATACTCTAACATCCATATACCTACTTTTTTCAATTATCAATTACTCAACCCATTTTTAATTTAACCTATTTTTGGCTAAAATCATAGAAACCTCCATCAAGAAATTTAAGTATAGTATTTCATGTACTAACACTAAATTAAATGGTTCACTGATTTTTCCTTACCAACTTTCAAATTTTAATTGAATCCAATACTTATACTATAAAATATAATCCTCCACCACTAAAATTCTTTATTTTACTTATATCTTTCAAATTAAATTCTTTCCTGCATTTATATAGTATCTCATCTATCAAATTTTTGATATTTAAATATTAACCATTATTAGTTAATCCTGCCTCACTATAAAATCCATCAGTCAGTTCAATCCAATTTCCAAATTTAATTGAGCCTAGTTCTTTATTAATATCATATAATTCCCTCCGCTAAATTTAGTTAAAATTGTGAATATATTATTTTGAAGTTCTCCTATTAAATTGTTCCTGAAATCATTTCAACAACAAATCATTTCTCCAGAATTATTTTCGTAAATATCCCAAATATTTTTAATAAAGCTACATATTAATTCAACTATCTTAGTTCCATAATAATTTTTAGACCTCTATTTCAAATGAATTAGATTTTAGAATAATAGTTTTATTGTAATTAGTATTACTTATATTATTTATCGAATAAATTATTGCTGTGTTATTTTAAAAGATTAATTCTAAATTTGATACCCTTGGATAAATCATCTAAGAATCAATTATAAGAGTATTTAAAAAAATATATTTCTTTATATTTGCATAAGATCTGGCAATTTCAGGTTTTCAATACATTGCTTTGTAAGATATTGTTCCTTCCGTTATTGGAAAGGAGATTAAGTTCTGTTTTTTGAATAACGTTAACTATAATTATAATTATTAGAGTAATTCGTTCAGAATTTCTGTATTAGAAAAGACATTCCTAAAAAAAATAATTATTATATTTACAACATAGTATAATTAATTCTTCCACCTTATTCAATCCATCTAAAACATCTAGAAAAAAAATAAATTTATTTCTTGAAAAGGTGAAGAGATTTATTATTTAATTAATTGATTTTCAATAAAATTACAAAAAAATGAAAAGTGATTTTTTGGTTACCTTTTCAAGAATAAATTTTTATTATAAATTTCAATGAAATTAACATATTAGTAATTTGATGGTATGCCCATTGAGTAAAATAGATTTAGGTTTTTCTTTCACATAATTTATAAAATTCAGAATAAATAATTTGAATTTAATAATCTATTATATAAATGGATAGTTTAGTAATTTAATCAAATTGAATTTTATGAATATTTAAAAAACAATTAGTTAATCATATTTTTAAGTATTTCAATATTTAGAATAATTATTTTATTATTGTAATAATATTTATATAATATAGAATTATTTATATATTCTCAAAAATAAAACGTATTATTATAATCAAGTAATTTCTAGCAGTGATCATAATTTTTTTATCATGTAAATATTCCTCTTTTTTTAATTATGTAGAAAGCATAATTAATTTATTTAAATCCTCAGTTTTATAAATTTATTAGACATCCTTATTACTTTCAATTCAATCTTCAATATTTATAGGCTAAAATCTCAAAATCTCGACCTAAAATTATTGACTATGATTCCTATTATGAATTCTATTTATTAACAACTTTATAAGGCAACAATATTTTTAACTTTTTCTCAAACTTCTCTCTGAGAATGCCATCTCATTGAGAATAAAAGGACTTGGAGTTGCGAAAATAGCATTTCTCCAATCGTTTTATCCACCCTCTCAAATGTTCCATTTTTAGTTTTTATTATTATCTCATATCTAAAATTGGTTTTATATGTTTAAATAAAGTCTCATGATAATGATAACAATAACTATATTCTTTGATATTCTTGAAAATCAACTTCTTTTATTTTATGTATCCTTTGATTTTTAAATACATCCAATTAATCTTTTAATTCATAAAAGAATTTTGATGTTTAAAAACAGGCCACTGTAAAGGAGTATACAAAACATGTTCTATATATCTCAAAATATTGTACATACAAAAGCCTTCAATTAATATTTTAATATTAACAAAAATAGCTATAAAAAATTTATAATAGAATTGCATTATTTATGAAAAAATTGATAGAATTATATTTGGTTTTCAAATTAAATATAAAATAACTTATGTTTTTTAAATAATATTTTGAAATATAAATTAATGTAAATATTATGCCTTATTACAAGAATAACCAATTATATTATATTATATTATAATCAATTTATTTACCACCCTATCTCTTTGGTTTAGAATTTTTAGCTAGTTTTAATAATTAAATTGCAATATTTAATAGGAAGATTTTTCAATCAGCAATTAGATGAAATTACGAATTTATAATAGATTTTATAATAAATTTAAATAAATTCATATGCAATTGATAATATTTTTTTTGGTTAGATTCTTTATTAATTTTTATAATTAATAAATTATTACTTTCAGTAATAAGTATTTTTTTACTTGTTATCCAATTATGAATTTACTATTTTAAAAATGTTTATTATTATTCTTATACTTGTCAAAAAGTCAAAATTTTAGAAATTAAAACATAATTGACTTGATATGAAACTTTCTATATCAAATTAAAGAATACTAAATTAAAATTCTCAGTAATTTCTATTTAGTTATAATCGCTAATTTCATTTTTCTATTCTGAGACTAAAATTCTCATTTTATCTTTTGAATTTTGTTTGAAGAATGATATTATATATAATATCCTATTCAAAAATTCAATCAAGAAATATAATAAATTTAATTGGATATTTATTGATATTTTATCAATAAAATTTTTATAATCTATATTATGATGCAGCTATATGCTTTTCTCTTTAATTTAATCAAATAGCACTAGGTTTAATATATAAAAGTCAGAAACCATACTATGCTAATTATAGATTATATCCTATAATTATGGATTAAATAAATGATGATGTTTCTCAATTATTTTCTACACATATAAATTAATTAGAATGAAATTTTACTATTTCTTTATAATACGGCATAATAGATTGTAAGTTATAACAAAAAGTAACCTTAGATGAAAAAGTAAATGGATATAATGATGGTGGTGGATACATCATAATTCAGATGAATGATTAAACTTAAAAAGAGGAACATTTTTAATTTAAACATATTACAAATATTTTAAGTGAGAAATTATGTTATGGAAGGATAAGGATATATTCTTTTACATTAATAAACTGATCGAAAATAAGGCATCCCTATTTCAATTAAAAAAATAGATATTACATTATTTCATCAAGAATTAACTTAAAAAATAGTATATTTTTGTTGAAATGATTTAACCAATTAAAAAGTAATCCTTTGGATTATTAAACAATCTGAAGCTAAATGTTATAAATAGGAGTAATTTTTAAATATGTAACAATAGATTATATATCCTACTTCTAAAATAAAAATCTTTGCCTATTGGAATGATTTCATTAAATGAATAAGTATTTTTTGAATGGATAACACTAACTTGCTGTTTAGAGGTGACTTGTTATAAGAATTATATTTATTTTTACGATAAATTAGTCATATAAACAATATAAGAGATACTAAAAAATTTGCTCTTTTAAAAATTCTACCTGACTTTGAAAAAAATGTCTTTGTAAAATATATTTTAGAAACTAATTCTTTTTCAATTTATATCCAAATTTACATTCATCTATTTCTGATCTTTTTACTCTCTTTATACACTTTAGAATAATGATGGTTTTTAATTTCTGTGGATTTATAACATTTTTGACTTTGTTAGATATTTAATTTGCACTTTTCTAGTCATAATTAACCAATTTTTAGTTATAATTTCTTTAATATTCAAATACCTGTATATCAATTTTTGAGGAACAATTTTAGTTTACAATAAGTTCTCATATCTTTTAATTTAATAGGGCGTCAAAATGAGCTGATTTTTGAATTATTTTTATAGAATTATAAATAATTTAATATATAAAGGATTTGAAAATTGAATATCTTATTATAATAAAATATATTAATGTCATCTGAATTGTATAAAAAATTATGCTAAAAGAACAATTTAGAGATTTTGACAATAGATTTAAAATAATCTACTGCTGATGAGGATAAATATCTTTGCATTATGGAGAAAATTGATATTTGAAACATGGCTTTGGTTGAAGAGACAAAAATAATAATTAAGCAAATGAAAAGTGAGTAATTGAACAATAAAATCAAAGGTTATTAAAGAAAGATCGAAAACTTTAGATAAATTCAAACCTAAGTAAAAGAATTGAAATTGTCAATCAACAACACCTTGGATAAAGTTTAGAGTAACTTAGATATTAAAAATAACTCTTATGGAGAAAGAGCTAGAAGAATCAGAATAAAAAACCCAAATTACTACTTTTGAAGAAGATGTTAAAGTTTTATCAAAGAATTACAAAGGATCATTTAGTTTTGAAGTTCCTAAGGAATTCGAGAAATCAATGGATAATAATTCTTATATAGATTCAGTATAATAGTAATTGTAATCTATAATTAAATGTCTTATTTCAACTAAATCAACGAATCTTTAGAAAGCACTAATGTGGAAGAAGACCAAAAAGAAATAAAGTAAATCTAATGTCTCTCAAAAAAGGAGGAAAATCTATTGTAATTATTATTATATTATACATTTATAGAAAACTCCAAGCTTGAATATTTAATGTAATAAACATGGAAAAGAAATTATCATGTTAAATTTAAATCCTGAAAAAACTAAACTTTCAAGATAGGCTTGTGTCGAATGTATATAATCAAATGATCCAATTAAATATATAACTTTAAGTGATGCGAATTTTAAATGGAATGAATATTTGGGATAAACTAGTGATCAAATTAAACAATTTAAGGACTTAAGATATTTTAAATAAAGATAAATAATTGAGACTCTTGAAGAAATTAAAAATAAGTACAATTCTTCAATTTCAGACGGGTAAACACTCAATATTCAATTTTTTCTCAACAAGAGTCTAATGAATTTAATGAAAATATGATTTATTAAAAGAATGCTGAATAAATAAATGAGTTATCTGAAATATTAAGCTAGACAGATAAATTTTAAGCTTTAACTGAGAAATAATTTAATATATAGAAGGAAGACTTTAATTTAATGGAAATAATTTCAACTAATTTTCAAAAATTATTATAAAATGATATATTGGTATAGAATAAGATTAATAAAATAATCAATGAATATAATTCCTATATTGCTGAAATCAAGGTTTAAAAAAGTGAAATTTGTCAAGAGGAAAATCACATTTCTAATCAATAATCAATTTAGTAATTAAATTTATAACTTCATCATTTATAAATATATTAAGGTATTTTGAATGAAGCATAAAATTAGTATGAATTTCTTATGAAAACAATAAGTAACTTATCAATAGAATTTAAAGATTTGTAACTGTAACAAGTATAGCTCTATTACTAAAAATTAGTTTAATCAATACGTATCTAAGATTGAAAAGGATTTTTAAATAATGAAGAAACTAACAAATTTTGATAAAGTTGAGACTCTACAAATCAATCATTTGTATTTATATCCATGTGTACATTTATATAATAAATGTAAAATAGAGATATTAAATTAATTATTTAAATGATAAAATATATTTATATCATTTTATAATAATAATAAATTATTGCTTAAATAAAAATGAGGAAGTCTTTTAAATTTCTTTTAGGATGACTTTATTGCAGAGGTCAAATTTTAAAATTTGATGTAAGAAAAGCTACGTATTTTTTAGGAACATTTCTCTCCTATAAAATTATTTCAGATACAGTTCAAATATCAAATGTTGTCAGAATAAAGAAAATTTCAAGCAAAATTTAATAGAATAATTTTAGTTCTTTAAAAATGGCAAGAATATTTCAATAAATGAAACTATTTTTTAAAATGAAGGAAATTATAAATTATTGGTTTATAAATAGATAGCTTAATAACTATCCAAGCCTTAGATTTGAATCCATAAATTTGCCTGTTTTTGCGAAGTAAAATATAATATCTTTAAGATTAATTATTTCATCTTTATTTATTTCAAAACTTAAAATTATTAGTGTAAATTTATTGTAATTCAGATTATAACATCTTAGTCACTTAATAAAAAAGTCTTTTCAATAGTGCATTTGATTTTGCTTCTAAATTTTTTGCTAATAATGAGAATTTTATTCAATTAACCCTTGATGTCACATGAATCTTAAAATAGGGATAAATAAAAACGAATTAAATTGAATTGATTTAAAATATGACTCATTTCCTCAAACTTTATTAGAGCACCTTTAAAGCATTTCTTATGGCACTAATTAAATAGCCTGCAGATTTCGTCTTTACAAATTTTCTTCTAAAACCATTCCAATTATGTGATAACCTAATACAATTACTCCAATCCTCCCATATATAAATTCGTTTGTCCAGTCCATGTTAGAATTTTCAATATTAATATTTTACCCATATAATCCAAAATAACTTTTTCATCTTTATTCAACTCACTATCTTGTTTCCAAATTTCTTAAATCTCATTTACTTCGACTTACCTATCTGCTAAGGTATTTATTGATGTCATTTTTTATTAAGATTCAACTTCTATTCAGCAATTTTGGATTATTTTTTAATATCTAGTTGCTCAGAAATCTAAGTAGTCATCATCTATATCTCTTAATTCATCCTTTAATCTTAATTGACTGATGACACCATTTGTTAACTTTATTTATGAATTACCTCATTTTAATTGTTATTTTTTATAATGAAATTAACAGTTTTTTGTAAATTTTCCATTAATTCAAATTCATACTGATTAATAATTTACCCTCCAAAAGTTCTAGAAAGTTTCAAACCTCAGTTTGTTTAATTCATCAAGTAATTATTCACTTCAGTTTCATAACCTCTTCTTAAAGAATATACATTTTCTCTTTCTATCGTAATATGAGTAAAATATTATTCCATTCAGTAATAGATTTGCCTCACTTTACTTGGTCAATATATATCTGGACTTAAGTTTGGAAGTAACCTGTGTTTATGGCTACAAATCATCCTACTTTAATGGATTAAAATTCAACCTATATGTTATAAATTTCATTCAAATGGATAATTAATACTTCTACTTCATCAATAAAAATAAATAAATATCAATACTTGAAATTTTAATTAATATTTATTAAAAATAAAGTTTAAAAAGTATATGATTAATAAATATTTGACCAAAGGTGTGAAGAATTCGATATGAGATCCTTTAAATAAATAATAATCAAAAAGGGCTTAAATATATTGTTTTGAGTATCACTCTTAATATATTGGAATATATTAAAAGTTATTCTTTTGATATTAAGACCTAAAAGTGAGAAGTATTTTCTGTCTTGGTTGACAATACAGAGATTTCGGTTTTAATTTTTTGACTCAATTCCAAGAAAGGAATTAAGATAAAAAATATCATAAAATCAGTTGAAAAGTTGTTCTTCTTATAAAAATAATTTACACTAAATTTCTCTATTTCTATTTTTAAATTATAAAACTAAGTCATTTATTAAATTCATTGAAATTTAGAATCTATTCTCATAAATTGCTGCAAAAATTGATCAAAGCACCGCAATTTTGTATAAAAAAGTTTCTTTTATGAAAATCCTTACTAAATACTAACTTTTGTCCCTTTTAATTTGAATTTGAAAATGTAATTCACTTATTCTTCTTAAATAATTAAATTATAAACCTTTTTAATTCAAGAATTGTAAATGGAAGTATCTCGATTTATAAAGTTTCAGAATATATTTTATCTTAACACTGTCAGCATCAAACTTATAATTAAAAAAAAAATTAAAATAAAATTTAATTCTTGGCGGGAGAAGGAAAATAAGCGCTTCTGGTCATGTCTATGTTTAAGACCCTAGTAGCCAATTTATTGCGGCATGTAGAGGGTCACAAAGGCTATCAGACTCAGAAACCCATGGGGAAGGAGCTCGAATAGCTTCCCCATGCAGTCCTGTAATATGATGGCGTCTTTGGGGGATCATATAGCAGTCTGAGGGCGAAGAGGTAAAATCAAACCCGGAAGTAGAGACCTCAAAAGTTGTAAGGGGTCCTGAGAAGAGTCAGCTACGGGGGAGGGATTCACCTCCTTTGGTGGATGGACTGACGTATTGATAAATATTAAACTGAGTTGTGACGCACCATATTACATATTATTATTATTACTTGTAATTATATTAATGAATATTCAAAAGTAACACAATCAAAGAAATTGTTATTAATTAATTTTTAGAAATTAAAAAAATCTATGGTCTAAATACATCATAAGAATGCTAACTTTCTTATACTAGTTTTTATGTGATAGAGAATTTTGTGATAGCAATCTAAAAAAGAGTATTTTTAATTAAATTTCTATCTTAAAGTTGTTTTGAAAAGTTTTAGAAAAAAAAATATCAGATATGAAATTGTTGTGAATAATAAATTCAATACAAAGAATAAGATAGAACAAAAAATTAATTAAATAAGAATTGAAAATTAATTTACTAATTAAAATCTTTTGGTGTATAATAATTTATTACAATTAAAATACTAGTGCCAAAATCTTTCAAATGTATTTGCATGAATTAACATAAAAATTTTACAGTGTAATAGGTTAATAATTATTTACATATTGAAAATCTTTATAGCTGGCCTTAGTTCTTGATCTGAAGTAAAAAACATAGCTAATTTGTTTCTGTTTCTGGGTTAGTATTTGTATAGAAAAAACAATTTTAAGTGCTGATTATTAAATTAAAAAATCCAGACTTACTTGAATTCTTAAATATTAATGTACTTATAAATCAGATTTATTAAACTTTTTTTTCTTTAATATTTCTTTGAAATATATTAACTAAAGTATTCTACTTTTGTAGTTTTAGGATTCATGTTGTAAATTTTTTTGTGATTATTTAATATACTTTATTCAGATTAGTACAATAAGAATTGTAATAACTGCCATTTAAATGAAGTAGTAATTTTTAAAAGTCTTTGATTTAAACAAAAAATATTCTTGTTAACTTTAATAAATCTATCTTTTGAGTATACAGGCAATTAAGTTTAATAATCATTTAGTCATGGATACGCTATTTAATTTTTATTTTCATCATGTTTTTGATTATAATAAAGAAATGCTTGAAATTTCGATTAAGTTACCAATAAGAGATAAAGCCATAATTGGATTATAAAAAAGATTAATTAGATTTTCTAATGTGATTATTATTTCTTTATCTTTTAAATTCTTGTTATAACAGTACATACTAATAAGGGGATGAGTTATCAAATTGAGTTGAGGTATTAATGAACGCGATTTCTCATTTGTTTCAAAATTGAATGATTCAATTTTTAGATAAAATATATTTTATTATTTTAGCAATTACAGTTAATTTTAAGTTATGGGTTTAAGCTAATCTAATACTTTATTATTATAGTCTTTCTTCTAAATATCCTCATTTCCTTTTAGTTTAGCCAGAAGATTTTTTGTAATTCGAATATCTTAACAATTTTAAGAAATTTAAAAATCAGATTTTCCCATTTAATTGTGAATCATCAGTTAAAAGTATTATACTTATTTAAATTTAGTATCTCTGGCCTATTCTATTGTAAGGTCTGGTTATCCTAACTTTCCAAATTATAAATCTCTAAAACAGAATCACTTCAATCATTTTGGGGATATTATTAGAAATAATTATTTAATTTTTCAAATGAGATGACCAATCTCTCTTCTTTCAAAAATAAATTATATTAGTCCCTACATTTTTATCTATTTTTTACATTAAAATCTTTTATTATCTATCTTTGAGTCATATTACATTTTTTCACAAAATTTATTTAGGTTGAGAACAGTAACAATAAAAATATAATTCAAAATAGTAGAGATTTTTATTTATCATTAAATATCTAAAATTACTTAATTTTTAGTTCTTACATCTATTAAGATATCAAACTTTGTTAAGCTCGAATTCTTAAAATAAATATGAGATTAGATGTGCTTTTTTTGACTTAAGATTATCAAATTATTTAAATGTATTATATTTTTAAATTAAAAGTATGATGGATAATAGATTGGATATCTTATTTTGATAATATTTTAGTTTATAAACACGATTATTAAAAGTGCAAAATTCTTTATACATAATATTAAGCCTTATTTCATAGTTATAAATTATTTATTCTTTTTTCTTGTTGTGTTCTAAAAATTATTAATCTACTAAAAAATAATATGAAAACTAACTTCTAATTTACTTTAACATTTAAAATATCTTTTTTTATAGTATTTTTAGTTCATTGCCAACTTTCCTTTTAACTTTGTCCTTTTGGAAAATTTCAATTTTCAAATGTAAAAATTCAAGTGATATTTAAATAAATAGAATAACTTGTGTATTGCTGATTAAAATATTTAGAGAGAAAACAAACATTAAATTTTTCAAGCCGTTTTATAATAATTAAACTTAATGATTTCTATAAATTGAAAATAGTTTCTAAAATATGAAGAATTAATACTGAACTCTTCATTAATTATCTCTTTTTTACTAATTTCATCATGTAAACCTCAATCATATAATTTACTTTATTAATATTAGCAATATAAACAAATAAATTTTAAGC